TGGTTGGACTCCGCTCAACGGCCGCTGCTTCCGCTACATTCCAAGGCCCATGAGTTGGGCCAAAGCTGAGGTTACAAAATACCTTTAATTCAGCAGATTATTCACTTTTTCTCAGTAAATGTTACAGAAATATGTCACTTCTTTTTTAAACGCCATGTGTAGAGAAATTGTGTGTCCATGAGGGGAAACCTGGCATCGGTTCATGACATTGAGGAGTACCATGAGATCCAGAGGCTGATCCTGACTTCTAGCCATGAGTTTAAAGAGAGCTGGATTGGAGGCACTGATGCACACGAGGTATTTTATTTAACACAACAGTTTATTCTTCTATATTTTACTCACCCTCCTATAAAATTCTTTTTGATTTTACAGGAGAATCAGTGGTTTTGGAGTGACAGTACTCATTTCCACTTTAACAACTGGTGTTCTGGAGAGCCTAATAACTTACATGGAAAGCAGCATTGCCTTTGCATCAACCATGGATGTAAGATTATGTTTAACTCGAATAAAATGTCTTATTCAGAGATGCTGCATTAAGTATGTTGTTGTTTATGACATTTAATATTATTTAGTTAAAGGGTTGTATCATCAATTTAATCCTTTTGAAGAAAAGTTACAATTCTCCTTTTTTTAATGCAGATCAGAAGTGCTGGGATGACTTACAGTGCTCCTACCCTAAACCATCTGTCTGTGCCAGGAAAGGCTACTGAACAGTCTTTAATTCTATCCTTTACTCTATCGCTGTTAAACAACTTATGAAAACAAAAGAGTTGCAACATTTACTGATATACCATTAATTCTTTGGACTTCTTCCTATTTAAATAACCTGAATTTGTTGTGGAAGTCTGCTTTAACCGCTGCTTTATTCTGTGGAAAATAAAACGCTCCAGCAAGAAGATGAAAAATTGTTGTTTTTTGTTTTTACATTGAAACATTGGCTATCTCCAGGTACTTTCCAGGTACAGTCCAAAAACGTGACTGTAATTGGCTTCTCTGAATTCCCCTTAGGTGTGAGTTTGTGTGAAAGGTTGTTTTGTCCTGTTTGACTTTGTGTTGCCCTACGATGGACTGGCGACCTGTCCAGGGTGGACCGAGCCTCTCAGCTGGAGATAGATGCCAACACCCCTCACAACCCCATTCGAGATAAACATAACGGAAAACAGATGGATGGCGAAAGATAAGCTTTATTCTGAAAAGCTGAACTATGACTTCTTTTTTTCTATCATGTTTAAAAACTAAAACAAAAAAGGAAATGCTACACACCATGTCATGCTTAAACCAAGTGGAACTTGTGGTCTGCTTTGTCATCATTCAATTCAAATGAGATCAAATTTAATAAAATCTGAAAATACTTCATTTGAGTTTATCTTTAAATCAACATTTCAACTCGCCACAAAACCAGCTAAAAAAAGAATTGATTGTTTAACACTGTTTTCTGATCTCAGCTTAAATAAACTTGGTGTTACTGTTCAAACCACAGGCATTTGACATAGTGTCAGTTTCCATAATTGTTGTTTATGCATCACAAAACTGTTGAGAGAGTCAACCCAGATGATATTTTCAGGAAACTACATGTTAGCCAAGCTACCCTGAAGGATGTTGCCGTCCATAAACAAAGCAATCTTTTTGCTCGCATCTGGAAGGTGCTGCAAAGCCGACAAATGCCATTACTCAAAACAGTAAAATACTTTTTATAGGCATGCTCCCTGTCACTAACTTAAGTCTCCTGAAAAACCTTCATCTTACCAAACAGTTTTAAATTTTATAAAATTATTGTTAATATCTTTTATAATGCGGGATCACAAAAAAGTGTGCTATGTATGACTGTTGGAACAAATGTATATAAAAATATCTCATATTTACTCATTTTCTAATACCTTTTATCCTTTCATACTGAATATCTATTTATTTCCCTTAAAGACTGCAATGCCTTTGTAGTAATTTCTGTTTGTAGAAGCTAAGAGGGACTGACCTTGGAAAAGACTCATACTAGGTTTAGTGAGTTGAAGCAGGGGCAACAACCTGCAGGTATCTCCTCACTCTACACAGGTGCAAAATATATAACGTGCACTTTAAAAGGTTGATTTGGCTTATGTTAGCTCTTTCACACTGTTGAGGAAAGAGACAGGCTCTGTTACTCTACAATGAACCAGTTAAATATGCACATACACCCGAGAAAAAAGCAAAATTCCCCATGACAATGCTCTCTGAAGAGTGTAATAAGTGCCATTATTCATATTGACATGAGTCCTGGATTTGCCTGAGCTGAAAGGCCACTCAGAGAGAATGAAGCCATATCATTAAAAGCATCATCAAAGGACAAGATTTGCAAATTGTATCTTTGGAAAAGATAACAGAACAAATTGGGTGAATCTTAACATATCTTAAATAGGGCACATTTGAGGTATTTCAGATTGCTCTTAGCTTAAAAATCTTCCTTAAGGTTGCAGTTAATCATATTTTCTATGTACTCTGACCCTAAAAAACAAACAGCAGACACTCTTGACCATGGGCCAAATTCACAACAGGTATAACAGACTCAGACTCAATTCCTCAGTGCTTATTGGCCAACCCTAAGGTTAGTAAAAAAATAACAAAACAAAATTATAGTAGTAAAAATTAAGTTTCAGATACCAACAAAATGTTTACACATTTTAAGTGTCCATTTTGACATTTACCCACATGGTTTTCAACTGACAGTCCCTTAGACATGTACAGTTGTGCTTGAAAGTTTACACACCCATTAAATAAAATCATAAATTCACATTAGTATTTCAAATAACAAAAAACTGAAAAAGAAATAATATTCCTTGTTAAAATGTACCTTACTTTACTAAAGTGGATATGATTTCCCATTTATGAAAAATATAAACAAACACATTTTGCTTTGCATTAAATAGTTTTCTTTATTATTTTCATTCTTGAGAACTCGTAAAATCCTGTTTTATTTTTTGCCTGTGTGATCTTTTTTTCAATTTTAACTATTTTCCCCATGTACTAAACACCAACATTTAGAGTTCCTCTTTCAAACACTTGTCCTAAAAAGTTATTTTCCTTAAATAGA